GATAGAGAGAGGGGGAAATATAGGGGAGAGAGAGAAAGGGAAATATAGGGGAGAGATAGAGAGGGTGGATAGCGCGAGAGTGAGCGAGCAAGTGAGAAAGAGCGCGAAATAGAAAGCGAAAGCGAGAGAGAGAGAGAGAGAGAGAGCGGGAAAGATAAATCAAAATGACAGACAGAATGGCGGGGGATCAAGGGCGCGCGCAGACGCGCACGCGAGAGAGAAATAAAAATATTTCAAAGACTAGCGAGCAGTACCAACACCGCCCGACATATAGTCGGCAATAGTGAATCGACGCGCTATAAACAAACGAATTCTATTGCGCGGCCAACACAAAGCAAGTGCCATGCGCGCATGATTAAAACCGCAAACACCGCTAAAACCGCCAATACTGCTAACACCGCTAAACCGCCAATACCGCTGTTCACTGACAATACCGCTAACACTGCCAATACCGCCTATACCGCTAACACTGCCAACGTATTGACACGGCCAACACCGCGGCGGCGCGGCAATGTTAGCACTGCTTAACGAGTTCAGTAAACGGCTGATAGGTCGACCATGTGGGAACTATGGATCGTAACTCGAGCGCAGAGCCGGGACATTACCCTGCATGAAGCCACCCATGGTCGGGTTGCGGGTCAACGCTGGGGTCACAATTAAAAAATATTTGTTTGCCCTAAAGATCAATAAAAAGATTTGAGTCGGCCCCTTTTTGGCGGGTCGGTCGGGTGAGGGCAAACAAACAATATTTTTATTATGGCCCGACCTGCCGACATGACAGCCATTCTCGATCACGTCGCGAAACCACAGGCGCAGATTGAAGTATTGATGATTGAAGATTGAGATATATATTGAGATATATTATATATATTGAAGATTGAGTAAGTGCTAGGCACTTAGAGCTGGATTCATCAAAGGTGCTCAGCACGATGTTAGGCAGTTTGGCTGCGGTATATTCGTTAACCACATGCCTACAAACGTGCTGAGGAGCTGCCTTGCCAAATCTAGCTGCGGCACCGTACGTACGTCATTCGTAGGACGCTTGCCTACGTAACTGGTAGCGTAAACACCAATGATGAATGCAGGCCCTAACCCGCACCGTTTCACCTGAAGACATCACACTGGGAGAGGGGCCAGCGGGAAGGCCTTACCAATTAGCAGGTAAGAAATTTGGCGTGTGCAATTACCAGAGTGCATATGCGTGAGTGTCGCGCGCGCGTGAGCGTGTTTTCATTTCTCTGTGAGCGCAGCTTGCCGCGTGGCCAGCCAGGCGAACGAAGACGACATTAGCATGCCTTTACAGCGTATAAGTAATTGCTAAGCGAAATTGGCACTACCTTATTTATGTCCGTTTCTCATTTTTTTCTTTTCTCTCTCTCTCTCATGTTCTCGTCTGCACACTCTCAGTCAGTCATTAATTACAATATACGCAGCCGATTACACAACCACAAATTAAACACGCATGTACGTAGACACGCACGTACGCACGCATGCACGCACGCACGCACGTACACACGCACGCAAGCGCGCACACACACGCACGTAAACGCGCGCACACACACGCACGTAAACGCGCGCACACACACGTACGTACGCATGCACGCACGCACGCACGTACACACGCGCACACACACGCACGCACGCACGCACGTACACACGCGCACACACACGTACGTACGCACGCACGCACGCACGCACGTACACACGCACGCACGCGCGCACGCACACACACGCACGAGTAGAATTGTGCGTACACACGTAAACAGGTCTTACCAGCACAGCAGGCCGAAGATAACGAGAGCCCACTTCTGACAGGTGATTTGCTGAACTTTGGCCGTAGGTTTCACGCAGCACTGGCACAGCATGTAGATGAACAGTGTCAGGTACGTCAGTGCCAGCCAGAGTACAGGCACACAGCCCCATATCAGCAGCACCTGAAACGTAGCAACAGATCACGACCATGTTAGTCGTAGATTGTAAACAAGTTTGAAATGGCACAATTAAAGACGCTGTAATTAATTGGGGGCCCGTCGTCAAAAACTAAACTATTCTTAACATTAGTCATACCAGTTACTATTTTTTGCCTCAAGGACCGTCGAAGGAAACACAGCAAAGTTACGAGTTTCTCCTATCAGCAATGTATAGATGTCCGGTCTACGAGAAAAGGTTAATGTTTACACTAATGGTAAGACTAATTTCGTTTCTGACAATGGGTGGGCGCCAGCTTAGACCAGGGGGGCAGTGTAAATATTACGGTCTCATTATGTGTTCGGAGAGAGGAGTGCGTAGAAACAAGCCGCGCACGACGTAAACTAACCTGGCGTAATGATGCTGCTGCCTGCATGGGGATGTGAAGCCAGGCCAGTTCGGGGCAGCTGCCTCTAGAGCTGCACTAGATGTGGTGCCAATAGCTGTGAGGATTCATCACAGATAAGGCCGACAATAAAAATGACAGGCAAATTTAATCTCACAGCTACTTGAACCAGGGTTCTCCGACATGAGAGTTCGGTGGGCGACCAGCTTAGACCAGGGTCATCCGACATGAGAGTTCGGTGGGCGCCAGCTTAGACCAGGGTTCTCCGACATGAGAGTTCGGAACTGGCTGCGGCACGCCCTCGCGAAAAACATCACGCCCCACGTGCGAGCCACCGAATTCGTTTGATTGCTAACAGACTGCGAGCTGCGTGTAGCAAGCGCGTGTGTGTGCGCAGCTTCCTCATCCAGTGTGTACACGTACTAGCAACCTGCTGGTGGGAAGCTCTAACAGACCTTGGCAAGAGCAAGCGGCATGCGTTAATCTCAACGAACGACATTACGACCCTCACTGCTGCTGCTGCGTGCGTGCGGGCGTGCGTGGGCGCGCGTGTGTGTGTGTAGGTGTGTGTGCGTGTGTGTGTGTGTGTGTGTGTGTGGTGTGTGTGTGTGTGTGTGTGTGTGTGTGTGTGTGTGTGTGTGTGTGTGTGTGTGTGTGTGTGTGTGTGTGTGTGTGTGTGTGTGTGTGTGTGTGTGCGTGCGTGTGTACGTGTGTGTGTGTGTGTGAGAGAGGGAGCGCGCGCGTGTGTGTGTGTGTGTGCGCGCGCGCGTGTGTGCGGCTTTTTTAAACATTTTTTTTACACATTTTCTTTTTATATCGCATTCCTGACGGGTGCACTTCTGTGTTACGTCACCCAGGCGCGCGCAGCAGCAAGCTTGCGTGCGCGCTCAGCTGTCGTTTCAAAATGCACTTTCTTTCTTGAGATTTTCGGGCATTGAAACCCGCTCTTCAAAAAAAACTCCCCTAATGAGAGCAGCTGAATTCGTTTTATGTACTTTCTTCCCACAGACCATCATTATTTAATGACTATTGCTATCATGTTGAAGTGACGCGAAACCGCGTAATTGGAGGGCAAGCCATACGAGCTAAGTAAGCACGGGAAACGAACGGTGCACGATCATGACTTGTCATAAGATTTTAATGAGGGAACGCGATAGTTTCGTGACTACACATCGACTGTCAGCTATACGAAAATGGTTGTCAATCATTTCTTAGTAACCGTACACGGCAAGCAGTCCGAAGAAAACGCAATTGACCGTACATCTGATTATTAGAAAAGCAGGTGGTTATTAATATATATATGGGGTTGTGGTGTATACTATGTATGTGTGTGGGGACGACGATTGCTTGTGAGTGTGGGAGGGAGTGATATGTGTAAAAGGATTGTGCACGGATATCTGAGGGAGTGATTCGTGTACGCGCATGAGTCGTTACATTCCACACATATCCACACAACACCGAGGTGGTAATTGGCTACCTAAATTAAAACAGTGTAAACTAAGACTAAGTGTAAGTGTCGCTAGTAAAACCTAGTGATAATTTTAGCACGTCAGTCAACGGTTTAATTAAATCTCAATAAAAATGTTAAGATTTGAACGCGCTGAAAATACAAAGTATGTCGGCGGGCCGCTATATATGCTCTTCACACGCAATGCTCGGACCACAGTCTAATCGTCTGGCAGCGTCAGCACTACAAGTGACTGCACCCCAGCCACAGTAGGCCGCATATGTGCGAGTACATGTTTGTAGGCGAGTGTGCGTGCTACAAGCAGGGGCTAATGATGAGCCAGTAACCGACACTACCCGCGCTGTCCACTCCTACCGCTGGAAGGGGTTACAGACTGTTAAAGGGCCCTCCAGACGCGGCCCACAAAGATAAACGACCAGCGAGGGGAATGGCTACAAAAACAAACAACTATGCCAGTAGCGCGGTGATTACTCCATAGTAACTAGTTCGCAGTCATCCACAGCTACTGCTACTGGCCTCTGCCTCCTCCACCCTACCCTGACTGCGTGCCTCCACATATAAATGGATAGTCACGGGAGTACAGTGCAATGTACAGACACGACAACGGCTTGTTTGTGCAAACATGGTGCACAGTGACGACCCTAGTAAAGCGGGGGATAGCGCGCACCCCACTTACAGTGACCACCGCACGCGAGAGAACGTGGTCTCTATATATCAATACACGGTCACACCGTAATGGTGCGAATGCCTTCCACAGACTCCTGATAGCGTAGACGTTGTGTAACAACGACAGTCTTGGAAATGGGTCTAAAACCCCAGCAAGTCCCAAGTTCGAAAACTTCGCGATTTCTACGATATGATCTATAGCGAATTCCATTAAAATGGGCCAGTCCTGCCCGAAAGATACAAGTCCCTGGACTGCGGAAAAGGCTGCTTTCAACACTTACGATAAACGACCCACTACTCGCATACCGTCTACTACTCGCATTTTATAACTGGGGCCCACTATTCCAATTCTATAACTGGGTCCATTATTCTAATTCTATAACGGGGACCACCTATTCCAATTCTGTAACTAGGAACCACCGAATCTCAATCCGTACGGTACTCGCGAGCTAAAGTTTCCTCATTAGCAGAGATTTTCCTGATTGACAGCAGCTCTGTTCGCTCTCACTAACATTTCAACGAGTTGTTGATCATTTCTCACTGTCGACAAAAACTCTCTAATGCACCGTATAACGTCTATAAGGTTCTCGCCTTCCCTACCACCACGTCGTTCATACGTTATCATGATATCTTCATTAAAAAAAACCTAAAAGCTCGGAAGCGTTAACCGGTTCCATGGGACCGACACTGTAGCCACGAGGGATGTCAGAGGTAGCTGAACGCGACCGCCTGCAGTGGAGAAGCTACGTCCACACTGTACTACCCCAGGGCCTATCGAAGGTTAAATCACTCATAGCCACCGCATGTAAGGCTCTAGCAACGAACACTCCCGTTGCGAAGGGATTGATGCAGGTAGTAACCATCGACTGTGCCGCTCTCGTCTCTATATAGCGCATTACACTCGGCTCAGTCTGCTGTCACGATGTCACCAGCTTTTCTATTACAGTGTCACAGGCTTTGATGCCACAGTGTCACCGTTTCTGTTGTCAGTGGCACTGTTTTTACTGTCACATTGTCTTTGGCGCTGGTGTCACTGGCTCTCGTGTCATGGTGCCACCAGTTTTTCTGCCAGTGCCACCGTTTCTACTGTCACAGTGTCACTGGTTCTGATGTCACCATCTCTGCTGCCGCAGTGTACGCAGAGTACCGGCGAAGAGCCAGAACTCTAGTTAGGGCAGAAAGTCATCGCGAGTTTCTAACAGTATAGCGTGGCTTCGTGATTCACTCAAGGCTTCACGATGTACTGCGCAGTGTTGCGGTGAGGATGGAGGTGGGCGGTAAGCCGCGCGTGCTAACAATTGGGAATACCATACCACATGTACAGCTGCTGCTGCTGCTGCTGCTGCTACTACTACAGCTGCTGATGCTGCTACTGCTGCTACTGCTGCTGCTTCTGGTGCTACTGCTGCTACTGCTGCTGCTGCTGCTACTGCTGCTAATGCTGCTGCTGCTACTGCTGCTAATGCTGCTGCTGCTACTGCTGTTGCTGCTGCTGCTGCTGCTGCTACAGCTGCTGCTGCTTGCTGCTGCTGCTGCTGCTGCCTGCTGCTGCCTGCTACTGCTGCTGGTAGGTAGGTAGGTAGGCTGCCTGCATGTATGCTCTCATCGCGGTGTCATACCGCCAGCGCTATACAGACCGTGCGATCGTTCATCCAAACATTTGCTCAGTAATCGAGGAATTCAAAAGCGACTTGCGGTGATCTTCTTTAAACACGGTTTACGCGCACCGGGCGTCGGGGGGGAGGGAGTGGAGGAGAGGGAGGGGGAGGGGAGGGAAAGGGGAAGGAGAAGGGAGGAA